TGCGATGATGAACCATTAAATATCTATCAATATATTTAATTTTTTTTGTGTTCAACTTATGAAAACATGAACGAATATGACGCGCAAAATTTAGATTGCTTGATGATTTTGAAGGGATTTTATACACATATGTCCCATAGTATAATTTGTAATGTAAAGTGGCACATAATTTAGACAATTGAATCTCATCAATCACATAAAAATCATCAATCTTCAGCATAAGTCAACAAGTTGACGATTTAACATTTCCGGATTGAATTTCAGCAATTTTCACCCGAACGTGTTGCGATTGCTGCCTTGGCATCGATGTCATTTATTATTTGTTTCATTGCGTCAAAATTAACGATTCGATAAATTTCGAATTTTACATTGAGCATCAATGTAATTGTACAAAAAAAAAACAGCGCCGACCATATCATTCATCACCGAAATATTTTTAAAACATAATTACTAAATATCAAAATAATATCAAGTTGAACACATATGGTTACTGATTAATTTCATACATCATTTTATTTCAATTTGTTTATTTGATCAAAATCAAGATGCATCTGCATTTCATTCGATCTTGACATATCATGGATTCTGTGCGGCTTCATTTGAAATATTTTAAATACTACAATATGTATGTAAGTTGTTTTGGCCGATTGGATTTTTATGCAAAACAATGTATTGAATGCAAAGTTAGTTACATTGTTGCAATGGTTGCATTTCTTTTTTAAATTTGATTCTCGAATATTTCAACAAATCAACCGAAGACGAAGAAAAAAATGACGATGAAAATGCATAAGCATCGGCTGTGTTACACAGCAACAAAATAAAATATGCAAGAGTAACCGATACAGGTATTTTCAATCTGCATTTAAAAAAAATTAATTTATAATTGAATGCATAAATTCGGCGATGTATCCATTTATTTAATTTATGTGTTTGATTGAGTATAAGCGTTTAGCATAGTGTGTGCGTACAAGTTTAAGTCCAAAGAAGATCGCTTCGCAAAAAGCGCACAGGCGATGCGTGCTCAATAAAAACATTTTTACGATTATTATTAATTATTATTATTACTGATGTTTTTGGTGCATGAAAGTTTCGGCATTGCTCATTGTCAATAACTGTCGTCTTTCTCATTATTCTTAAAATTGGCACAGCGATGAGTGAATATGCGTGTATCACTTTTCTTCTTCTTTTTTTTCGCATTCGGAAGGCATATTTTGTGAACTTAGTGGGTCCGATTCCTTTCAATTTACTCATAGATGATGATTTCTCTCCTCTCTCTCTCTCTCTCTCTCTCTCTCTCTCTGTCTCTCTCTCTCGCATAGCTACTTTGAATGAAGCTTTAGTTTACCAAAATATTTGGTAATCAGTCTTTCCAATGGCACAAAAGTATTAAAGTATAAATAAAGTGTTGTATGTGCTTATATACATTTTGGAAATATATATGGTATATCAACGTTGATCACAATTTATCGACAATGAACGATGAACATATAAGATACACAGGTTAACATCGAGACTAATTACAAAGAATTAACGTTTTAAATTTAGTGAAAAAAGTGAAACCGTTTTAATGCTGATTGTGTGCCACCATCCCATTATCCTTCGAAATTTCAATTTAAATGGCAATTTAGTGGAAGTAATATGAAGCATTTGTTCGACTAGTACAAACGAGTACAATTGCTTGGAAATGCTTATTTTCTGAATATGAAAAAGAAAAATAAGAGCACCGCGAATTCAAACAGTGAGCCTTTAAAATAAATAATTATATAATTTTTTGGATTGCCACCCAGTGAGATGGGATGACAGTGTGGATTTTGAATCGAATATCGAAATCAGCGGCCATTTGTCGATGCCCTGCAAATTACTCTCATTATCAATACTTATCGATACAAGTGAGAACGAAATAAAGAGGCTGTGGCTTGCCAGAAACGGAATTGACAATAATGCACACAACACAACTGGAAAACACTTCGTCGAGCAGCCGACAGGGCCGAAAAGATACACTGTGTCTTGAAGTGTTTATTAATATTATCTCGAAGTGCTCATATTTTTTTGTCTCGATTTTTCTGTTCCTCTTTTCATTTCATTTTTTTGGGGGGGAGGGGAGCTGTGTAGTCGAGCAAGAATTCTCGAGTGATTATTTAGTAGTGGCCATTATTCATACTTTAGTTTCATAATATTTTACACTTTTATGTTGTTTGGTTTGCTGCTGGTTGCGCCGTTCAAGCATCAATCCATTAATCTGGATCGGTTTATATTTGCAAATGCTCTTTACTTTGTTTCTTCTTCTACTACTTCATCGTTTACAAATTTTATTATTTGAAACGAAACGAAACGGAAAAGAAAAATTCCCGAATCAGAAAATACGACATACGCGTATACAAAATCTGATTTTATTTAAACATAAATTTGTTACACTTAAAATTTACGAACCATTTGGGTGCAAAAGATGCAATGAAAAGCATCAACGAAATTTTTATTATTTTTTTTTTCCTTCTTCAATTCCACGAATGAAGGGAGAGAAAAGAAAAATGTGGACGCAAAAGCGCGAATTTGCCTCGTTTCGAGTTGAAATCTTGACGGAATTATTTGTTCATCGCTGTGAAACATAATCTGCACTTTGCAGTTGAACTCGATACAAAAATCATTTATTAAACGGAGTAACATCATCCGAATCATTCGATATTTTGAGCGATAAAAAAAAATTGGTGCTTGCAACCAATTCGAAGATTTACGGTTGGCAAACTGAAGGTTCATTTTGGAACATGTACTACATGAGTCAATATCAACTGACTTAAACTATTTGCGGTATAATCGCACGAACCATATGCAGAAGTGAAATTTGGTAAAACATTCATCGAACTGAATTATATGGACGGGCAAGCGATAAAGATGAGCATGGACATCGTACGAATTTTAAAAGAGATGATGTTAAGCACTTACATTTTATTGTCATCAGCAATAATTCTGTTTTCATTCTCGTTTGTGCGTGTGCACTTCACTATTGCTGCGATTGCCAATGTAGATGCGCGTGTACAATGTGCATAATGGCAATTGAGTGTGGCTGTTTTTCATCGTGTGATGAACTTTGTTTAGTTTTGTTGCATGATAAGAGAAAGTATCGCGTTAAGTCAGTTTTATGGTGCTTATGATCGCAGTTGAGAGGTTGCAAAATGAATTAAGCTCATCGAAAGCGGCGCATGAATTGAAAGAAAAATGGCTACATTTTTAACGAACGGAACAATGTATTGGTGTAAGTTGCTTCTTTGTATACACAAAGAGTGCCCATTTAATAACCGGCTTAAGTGCATTACTATTGCCCAAACAGGATGGAAATATCATCTTCTTCAATGTCCACATATTAATATGAACTTTGTTGCGGAAGCTTGCTCATTTGCGCTTATCGCCACTAACTGAATCAAAGTCACATGTTTAATAGCATCGCTTGAATCATGGATGATGTTCAGTTCGATGTGCATTTTTTTAATTTTCTTTAATTTGAACACAATTGATTTCGATTTTTCAGATTTAAAAAATAGTTTAATCATTAAACAAAACGTATTCGTTGAAGAATTGAGTAATTCAATGTTATTCGAAAGAAAAACCTAATACAATAATTCCAAATAATTTTAACACATAAAATTTTGTGTTTTTTTTTGTATCATCAATTATGAATTTAAAGAGAATTTCGTGTCAAATCAAATGTAGATGCATTATACAATGAAAATTGAAAATAAAAAGTGATTCATATTTTTGAGCAGCGATGGGTATGAATTTCTTTCATGTCCCGTGTAAAGATGTGACACAATTAACTTTTGTGATAAAAAAAAAATGATGGATCATCACAGCGGTGAAAAAGATACACCAAATATTTGACCTGCCATAAACGATCATTTCAATCCACATGTATGTGCTCTGTTTCTGTTGGAAATTCGTTCGCTCCGAATGTCGTTCTATGCGAATGTTCGTTCGTATGCTAACGAAACAATTGGCCCAAATGTACTAGCAATAAAACGAGAATGTGATTAAGTGTGATTAACAAATTAATTTCGATTCAAATCACACTTTTTGTCACCGATGATTCATTTATGTTTGGACGAATTGTTTAAAATTGAAATGGATTGGTTCGTTTGGTATTTTTTTTCATTCTCTCATCTCTCTGTGTTTCCTTTCCATTCCACCCATGTTGCTTGTGTGTCAATAATAATTTGTCTTTTCGTTCCATTGTTGATGTAATCTATACGTATAACATGTGCTCCGTGCGCCTTTGCATCGCAGTCTGAACCGTTTGTATGCATTTGAATCGAAAGTATGAAAAAGAGAAGAAGGAAAAAAAATGTTCATTGGATTCCGTTGATATTCTTAACTCTAAGAAGCGGCACTGATTGATTGGTGTGTGTGATATTCACGTCATGTTACACACGTAAACGCGTACGTCCGCTTTCGTTTTTGTTCATTTTCTTCATTTCTTTGATTTTATTTCATGTTCTCTTGTCTTACACTTTCTATCACACAATGCATAAAGGTTGTGCACTTTCTTTTGAATTCCCCTTTTCTCCCGAAAAAATTGTCACCTTTTCTTCCTTCAATCACAAATTTCATCGTGTCAACAATCGATTGGCTGATTTCCCTTAATGCTTTGCTTTAAATCAAAAGCCAATAATGCCATCAATTTTGTTAATAAAGGAGAGGTGAACAAAATGTACCAACTTAGTAATATTCAAGCGAATTACGTGTTTATTGCGTATGAAAAACGTTACGAATCCCAACCCAAAAAAAATTCTTCACATGAATGAAATATAAATGAATGAAGTTTGAAGTCAAATTCTACCGGATGCTCTGTAGACATTATAATATAGTCTTCAGTAAATTTTCATTTGATTACTTCATCAGTTTTATTCTAATCATAATTTTACACTGAAAAGTCATCTGAAGATGCAAAGCATACTAATTCTATCTAATAAAAAGTCCTTGAGAAACAAATTCAATTGTAATCGATTCCATTAGAAGATAAAACATTTTATTTGTGAAGAAGCTTAGAATTTATGTTCTAATATATTTGTTTTTTTGTTTTTTGTTTCAAATGGCGTCATATTTTTATATCTACAAACTGTTTGTGGGATGAATAAATTTTGCAATACAAACTCTTAGCAACAGCTAATTCCACTTTCAAATCGAAAGAAAATATCATAAGTTTGTTTCTATTAAATTACACAAAATGGTTCTTTAGTCATATCCATTATCCATGGTATATAAGATGAAATTCGGCATGCAACTCGTGGCTGACGTGTACCACAACCAACACCATAGCTTGGCATTCCGACCAACACCAAACGACCCGTTACTGTATCAACATGACAAAGACCAGCACCATCATCTCCCTAAAAATAAATGAGCAACATTTCAACAGTTTTAAATTACAATAAGCGCGTAAAATGTTGCCATTTTCATTGAATAAATAAGGTGTAATTTTAAAAAAAAAATCAACATTTATTGATTTGATTCCATTAACGGAGCTCAGTTTCATATTTGTTGATATTGTAGAGGATGTGTTGTGTCATCAATGAAAACGGTAATTTTCTATAGTTATTCTAAAGTGTATTTTGAAGTGAAGTGTCAATTACCGTGCACGTATCTTTATGTGGTGTAAGAAGGCACATTTGTGACGCCGTTATTCGATATGGATAATTGTCATTGCATTGATCATTTGTTATGACATCCAATGTAACAGCTTGCAATTGCGTTGATGTTGGTCCCGTGTACGATGTTTCACCATAACCAGCCACTTCGACCGGGGAGTAGGCATAGTTTTGTTGCGATAATCTCTCACTGAATTCAATCAGCAAATGAAAAAAAAAACCGAACAAGAAAGAAAAACGAACATTATTTACACTTCAAATGAATTCATTTACTTTTGTTAAATCTCACCTAATTGGCAGGCACACTGGTGCAACGGCCGGATTATATTCGATCGTCCCAATGATCTTTCCAATTGCAATATCGTTTAGCATTGACAATGGATCGTATTCTTTATGAACAATTACACCAGATAGTCGATATGTTGCTGCATATCTCGAACTGGCAGGTCGTGCATAATCAGTTGTACCAACAATCACCCCAATCGTATCGATCGTACGATTAAATAAACAATGACCAACTGATATTATAAAACTTTGACTTATTATTGTGCAATGACAAAAAACAATTTTTGTATTTAAATCCAATAATCCACATGCAAATGGCATTTGTTCAATATCAATTTTTTCGCCGTTCAAAATGCGTGGCTGTTTCAATATAACAGAAAACAACAATTCAAATGAAAATTTTGTGGAATAAAAAGACAGAAGAGAACAAATAGCATACCCTTTTCCGTTGTCCACATGGGCATTGACCTTGGTCTTGTGGACCCATTGGTTGATACACCTAAAAATACAAAACGAAAAAAATAAAATTCATTCAATTTTTCAAACTTTCTGTGCATATTTTATTTGATGCAATAAATGAAATACAGCAAACGCAACAAATTTCTTTTAAAAATAATATAAGATGAAGCAAAGCGGGAAGCAAGCAGATTTAAAGCATTATTTGTATTTGTAAACCTGTTGAGTTGGCGAATATGTGGGACTATTGTAGATTGGTTTTTGTTGTTGATTTATTGGGTAGACATTTTGTGGGTAACCAGTTTGATATGTTGTTTGGTAGCCAGTCTGATAGCCACTTTGATAACCTCTATACACTGGCTGAGATTCTTGGTAAGTTACGGCCGGCTGCTGATAGGGGATGGCAGGTGAATAAGAGGGTTGATAGGCCGGCTGTGGTCTTGATTGTGCTGGGAATCTTGCGGGGGCATAATATGTTGGTTGAAATCCTTGCTCATAGCGTACGCCTTGTTGTGTATAACCTGGTTGATATGATGGTGGATATTGTTGTTGACGCTGTGCTGGGTATACGCGTTGTGGAAATGATGGTCCTGTTATGTAACGAGTTTGTGTTGCTGACTGAGGTGCTGGCAAAGGAGATACTTGTGCATAGATTTGACAAAAGAAACCTCCACCAGTCGAATTGGGATAACTTCGAAGCGCTAAATTATTCAATGAAAAAGAATTCACGATTTTTACTAATGCTTTTTTGTTTGTTCACTAAAATTATGAAGAAAATAATCAAAAACTGAATTCAAATTTGCAGATTCTGAAATTTCATACACATTGACAGAATGTGTTCCTTTTGTGATCTTTTTTTTAAGAAGAAAATGCTTAAAAATATTGTTTATAAATACAGATGTAATTAATGCTAAAATGTTTTCTATATGTAATATTATATACGAAACAAAGTCTTTATATATTTACGTGCTTTACTCACCCATGACTAAGGCATTCGATCTTGTTTCGGTGACGAATGGCTGTGTACAATAATTCACCGCATCGTTCAATTCCTGGCAACCTTGATAAGAAACCTCAAGTCGGTCACTGTTTTTGTCACATGTTCCATACTAAAGACAGACAAAACACAATTAAATACAACAATTACTATTAATAATCAAAATTCATTGCTACCGTCTATAGCATTTGAACTTACCGTAGGAATTTTCATGTCAGTACATTTGATTACGATATTTGTGCCGTACGGAGCACATCCAGACCAACGGCAATTTGTTCCTGGTGGATATTTGTCGGGATAATATGGTGAGAATACGTCATAGATTCGGCCAAGTTGAATTGATTCAAAATAATCACACCCATTAAATATATTATTATTCGCGGTATATGGATAACTTTGACTCAGAGCACATGATGCGATGGTCACCAATACAAAAACTATGCAAATATTTAAAATATAGAATGTTGAAAATACAAAGAAAAAAAAATTTGAAAAAAAGAAATCAAAAACATACTTTGTAAAATTAAATAAGCCATTTTTTGTTCGGATAGCACAAAAATCACTAGCAAAAAAAAAAATATGCGATATATATAGCAATTAATTAAAAATCTTCAATAAATATTCCACATTTGAAAATGTAACACATAAAATCAAATGTCTGGAATCCGCTGTGTCTCAGCCAATATTGCACTTCACACTGACAAAATTTTGGCGTGTGCCGATTTTCTTATTAGAACCAGGTATCATTCTTCCCGTGCTATTTTTTCATGTGTTCTCATTCAATTGTCTCACTCATCTTTATTATTCACTTAAAAAATATTACGAAACCGTTTTTTTTTATTCGTCAATTCATTACGAACGCGTCAGTCAATATTGGAGGAAAAAATGTGTGTCATCTCAAAATTCGAATACATTGAATCCAAAAACACTGCCAAATACTGCGAAAGAACAACAAATTGCATGTTATGTTGAATCATTGTAGCAAAACATTTAATATGAGTTTGTCAAGCGGAAAGTATTTCAATGACGTTGTTTTTGCGAGGATTTCCGATGAATTTGAAGTATTTTCAAAAAAAGAGAACACAACAACAACAGAGAAACACGCACACAGACATTCAGCTCATCTCAGACGAATCTCGTATCCATCTATTTTCGTGGATTTCGTTTTCACATGTAAAACTGTTTACTAATTATAATTTAAAACGTTTGTCACATTTTGAAACTATGGAGTCTGTTTTAATTTTATTTTCATTGTTGGCCTTATGTTTTACGATGCTTATTAATTTTCATATATTTTGCAAACGATTTAAACGAATCCATGTGTATCGTTGTTATTTAAATATCGGTGCTATTTTTGTTATTCGTAAACTGTACAGTTTTCTTTGCCAGATAAAGTCTACAACCTTTACATAAGTTGATAAACACACGTGCGTATAAAAACGAAGAGATGATTTGTAGCGTACTTACCGAAATTAAAACAATAGTCAAAATATGTCCAATACCAACAGAAGCCCGCTGTTTTTTTGTTTGATCGATTTAAATTTTTTTTTACGTTCGTCGTTCGTTATGTGGCCTTACTTATTTGTCATGTTAATACAGTTTAAATGTTCCCATTTTTTAAATGATATATTCCACATTCTTTTCAGACAGTGTGACACATAACTGCACGGAAAAGAAGACATTGAAATAGTTGGAGATCTTGTTTTGTGAAAATTGAACAGCAACAATAACATTCGAGTCGTGTAAAACACTTTCTTTTGTTGTCACACATTATCTGTACAAACCTATCGTGCGCGGCAACAACTGATGAATGAGACCATTATTTGAATAACTGTACAAACAACGTTTATTGTATGCCGGTTGCTCATTCCACACTCAATTCACTAAACTCGATTACTACTTCAAATATGCGAAAAATGGTTACCCGTTAAACACACTTAAAAGCATCTCTTTTAATCGATTTCACAATACCATCAGCCAAATAAAATTGTATTGCAACCACACAAGACCATGTGTCAACACAATCATTTAATTCAGGTAATATTTTATTTGAAATGAGCTGTATGTCTTCAATGATATTGAATAGGCAATCAATTTTGCCTCGATGCAAATTCACAGTTCGAAAAAAACACACAACGAATATTTAAATTTCAATAGCCGAAAAAATAATTATTAATCAAAAATTAACTAGATTAACTAACAGCTGAAAATGCTTCAACAATTAGCAATCATGTTTTTTTTTTGTCAACCCTCTGCGGTGTACGTTTGAGTTTTTCTAATTATCTTTGCATTGTTTTTAAGTGATTTTTACATATATATCCGCATTCCGTATACAAATGTCCTCGTCTTGAGGTGAACAGTTATTTTATCAAGATCAAAAATAATCCATTTGAAAATATGTGAAATTCAATAATACAAGTAATATCGAGTAATATTGTGATCAATATAATAACAAATTATGAAAAATGTTGAGATTACCGACAAAAGAGCCCATTAGCATCAATTTATTGGCATGATATAAAAGCAATAAATGTATGCTCATGTTCATTTTAAAATTAGCATAAACACGACAAAATGGCATTGTATGCTAAAACAGTCATCGATTTCAGAGATGGTGCTGAGTAATCATTTCACTAATAGGACAAATGAAAGCATTACCATGAGCATAGCTGTACGATCACTGGCTATATCACCAGTCGAACCGTATTAAGTATCTAAACAATGAACCTCTGGCGTCATTTACACTGAACTACTGAAAAATACATTCAAATATTTTATGTACATTTGTGACTCTGGCGCACATTAAACACCACGTTGAGAAATCATATCAAATATAATTTGATTTTGTCATCGCCAACCATCTGATTCTAAATCAATAAGGTCCTTCTGAACCGTTGAAAAGTTGTGAAAGTTTGATGAATGTAATCAATAACAACAATTAACACATTATTTTTGAATAAATTTGATGAAATACGATCCTTTGACTGAAATGCCATATGGACCGAAATCAAGCTACGGAATATGTCTGACACCAAATATGAAGCAACCTACCTTGCACCCACACATAAAGAAACAATAAATTGGTTATTGTATTTCAAAGTGATTCACGGTGATGGTATTGGCTATAGCCGTATAGCCGTAAAATGGACCGTCCATAGACGATGGACGACACACGAATGTAGACGTGCACATTTGCACTGTGTAAATCAGTGGGCGTATTAATATCTTGCGGCCAAAATATAAAATAGCATTCATTTAACGATCGCAGGGAATATCGCAAAGATTTTCACCCTAAGGACATTCAACCTGTTGCCGGTTGTTGTGTGTTGCAATGGTATCAAGAAATGAATTTCGCACGACCACCATCATTAGCATTATGGACACCATACAGAATATTGAATGTGGCCGGTAATTCAGGTATATTTAAAAAGCTTCTGTAAAATTCAGCAGCATATTTAAAGAGAGTGGCCGTTCTATAACAACAACATCTGGGAGATAAGCTTAAGTGGATTCTAGGCAATAAAAATTTAAATGATCGGCGCTTGGCAAATGTTTGTCTTTTGTATTCATAATGAATATTTAATACCCATAATCGTATGCAGATTCATAAAAGCGAGTATGAAAAACACATATTGAATTTTTATATTATTTCAGTGAGAGAGAGTTATTATTTTCGTTTTGGCCATCGTCTACTAAACATATTCTAAACAATATTCTTCGATGTAGTATAATAAAATGCATACATGCATATGATCGCACTGTGATCGAAGCACCGCGCATAGGCATCAAGAGCGAGGGAAACAGACAGAGAGAGGGATAGAAGAGAAAAAAGAAGGAAATTTCGTTTCAATCGTAAATACGCGAAAACAATTGAATTCAAATGGACTTTAAGTTTGCAATATTAAATGTGATTGTGGAAGGTGCGTTAAATGCTAAATGTATCTTGTACATTCCGTCGATTGGCTGCGGCGATTCAGAATGATCGTTGAATTTGGTCTTGTATATTCGGTGCACACAGTGAATTGCATTTAGTCTTATACTTGTTTTATTTTCCCTTGATCGTGGTTGATAATTCTACAACGGCTACTGTTTATTTGTCTACTGTCGCCTGCTTATCGATTCTTAGCGATTACTTTGCAAGACAGACAGAGAGAGAGAGAGAGAAAAAAAGAAAGACTAAATGCATCAAGTTGCACTCGCGAGCGTGCACAATTACATATGAATCACTTTATCTGCGTCCATCTCGCGAATATGGATTGGAATTTGATCTTTATTCGGGATTTGATCAGAAATGGGAGAGAGAGGAAAAAAAAACGTTCAAACAAAATGTTATGCAAGGGGAAAAACAAACAAAACAAACGATGAAAAAGTCAAATAATATGGTCATACGTGCAGAAATAAAAAAAAAGAGTGCACAAAAATACTGTTGATATTTCAAACGCACGGAATATCACATCACTAAATGCGGACAAATAATATGCACGCAATTATACGTGCGGCGCTGTGCAACCAATTGATTTTAAGCGATGTATTCTATTGCATTGTATTCTATTTTCATAGCAGTTTTGTTATTATTGTTCTGTCGTTCGTTGGTCGGTTGCTGTTGTCGCGCTTATACCGATTCACATTGTGATGTCGAAGAGAGCCGGACCGAAATGTATGTGTAATCGATCGGATTGTACCTTCTTCTTTTATTATGTATTTGCGCTTGATTTTTATATTGCAAAATACTCATGCCCTCCAGCATCAAATTTTATTACAAACGTTCCTGTTTTGTGTACTTTTCGTCGATGCTCTTCTTTCAATATACTCTTTGCGTACAAGTCGTACATGTGACTGAGTGAGTATATTTTAAAAGGTTTCGTCGTTAAAACTATGTGGAGTTTCAATAATTTTTTTTCCCTCTTGTTGTTTCCTCGTACAATAAATTTCGACTTGAATGATTTTTCAAGCCGTTACAAGCTACTACACTTTAAAATTGTTGAAATAGCTTTTGCGGGAACTTTTTTTTTACATTTATATCTCTTTTTTCTTTACATTGGCCAAGCTCTCGGTGTGTTTTTATTTTGGTTATGATCCTCTTCTTTTAGTCTTGACTCCTTTCTCACTCTATTGAAATAGCGCTACTTTGCATATGCTAGTAACTGTGAAATTCTTCTTCTTCTTTTTCTTTTTCCTCTTTCTATTATTACTTGTACGTATTATTATTGATATTGCATTATTGTAAGAGGTGCCCGGACAACGCGTAGTCAATTCACATAACAATCGAAACCAAGCAACGCCAAGTCAAGCAAAGTCATACGAAGCAAATATATGACTCATGCACTCGTGTATTGGCTTCGCCATCGAAATGTACAACATTCAAATATAAACATAATTCGGATACATATATTGTATGTGTTTGGTTCATCTTGAGCAAAAATATTTGGCGAGACAAGCATTTAAAATGTGCTATCTAACGACTACCATGAACATGGTATTCGTGAATAGAATATATGCGCATATCTTGTGTGCTCGCTGGATTCCAGAAGGATTTCATGACGGCGTTAAAAA